TATTCATAGGCTATATTTTGGTTTTGTATTTCGTTCTTTTTCTTTTTTCATGTCTATCTATATAAGATAGGTGGGATAAACAATCCTGAGGAGAAAACAACTGGACCAATAGTTCAGGAGGACAGTGGAGAGGAGGAGGTGGGGAAAGAGAGAGGGGAGCCAAATAATCCAGGGACACGGGATCAACAAGAGATCTAAAATCTATTGCGAGGAGGGCATATAATGCCTAATGTAGCCAAAAGGAAGAACAGAGAGTTGAATGAAGGTTGAACTTGATAATGGAACAGGAGGAAAGTAAAAAGAAATAGAGGACAAAACTAAGAGTCAAAAGACATTTATAGAGGTATAAACATAGGCATGTACATATGTAAAATACATTCATATATAGAGAGATATAGGTCTATGTATATACATTTATAGTTTAAGTATTAAGGTAGCAGATGAACATTGAGCCTTTACTCAAGTACTCCCTCAATACAAGAACACTTTGCTTTAATAACCTGATACCTTCCTGACAAGATTGCTGAAGACAAATTGTGTGCATAAGCAAATGTGGTGAAGAAAGCTGATGGTGTCCAGGTATTACAGGTATTTTTTTGAGATTGCTTTTTCTTTATTGGGAAGCATACGCGGGACACAGCACAGGATAGGAGCTTGTACGCTGCCACCTGGCAAGGCCCAGGACCACAGCAGCCAGGCTCAGGGTCACCACCACCACCAGACCTAAAGCCAGGCTCACGGAGCTGTGAGCAGCAGAGGTCCAGCCCTCCCTACTGTGGTCACCAGTCTTTCCCAGGAAGATCAGTGGCACCACCGTAAGGTCTGCTTCTTCTGTCACCTTTCTCTGTTTGCGGGATACCAGCTTCTGCCACTGGCTCACCGACAGCTGGTCTACAGGGGGCAGCCTCCTGGGAGGATCCGGCGTGCCACAGTTGCCCTGGTTACAGCACTCACAGATGTCACTTGTGCCTTCCACAGGGTGCCAACTATTGGTCGTCTTGTTGAAGGAGCAGGCTTTGTTGAGCCGGTCTGGGGCTTGCTCATCCGGAGTGACTTTCAGATGGCAGGTGATATAGATCATTTTTCTGGAATCATTGGCAAAGTGAAAGACATCCACCGTGAACTGGAGCGTGTCTGGTCCGGGTCGGGGGGCGTGGAACACCGAGACGGAATCGGAAAGCCCATCCACGAGACAGCCGTGAATGTCCACGATGGTGTGATGAGGAGAGGTGGTCCTGGCTGGGATTGGCGTGGCCACACAGTGGTCCACGAACAGTCGGAGTGGCACGTGGCTGCCCATGCGGACCTCTGCCTGAAGGTGAGCCGTCTCCCCGAGCCGGAAGGTGGGGTCCCTCTTCTCAGCGTTCCAGTCCTTCTCCATCAGGCGCATAGAAAAATCCAGCTTCTCCTCAGACAGCACCGTGGTCCGGAAGGGCACCCAGGTGGGCAGTACGGCCTGGCTGCTCACGTTGCCCTGCCTGGGATAGTGGCACTCGATGGGGACCTTGGCGGGGTCAGCCCTCAGGATGTACAGGTTCCCCACCGGGCGGGGTCTGTGGAGCAGGAAGGTGCTGTACACCAGGGCATCGCCGGTCACCTGCACACGGTTTCCACACTCATGCAGGCCAACCTCAAACCTGACCACGGCGGCCGTGTCCTCGGAGGCCAAGGGCTTACAGTGCTCAGGGCCCAGGGTCAGGTCTGAAGGCCTCACAAGCTTCCCGGCGCCAAAGAGGTTTTTGCTGACAGTGACCACCAGCTGGGTGTCCAGGCACTCCACCAGAACGGGAGGTGAGGGGGGCGTGGGGGGCACGGAAGACTCGGCGCTACCGGTTTCATCATGGAGGAACCAGATGGGGTGGGGGCAGTGTCTGGGATCTTAAAGTCTTGAAGTCAAACAAGCAGCCATCTAGTAAGGAAGCAACAAAGCCCACATGGAAGAAGCACACCAGCCCATGTGATCATGAGGTATCCATGGGATAAGGTATCAGACATCAGAAGACCCAAAACAAACAACCATTTCAATGCAAATGATGGGGTTCAGAATGGAGACCAAATGCCCATCTTTAGACAATTGGACATCCCTTCACAGAAGGGTCACAAGGAAGGGAAGAGCAAGTCGGGGTGCAGTAGAGCACCAATGAAACACACAACATTCCTCTAATTCTTTATTGATGCCCCTCCCACCACCACCCCGCTCCACTATCATGACCCCAGTTCTATCTTACAAATCTGGCTAGACCAGAGCATGTACACTGTAGAGAAAAGAACTCTCGACACACAGAATCTAGGACAGATAAACCCCTCAGGACCAATAATGAGAGTAACAATACCATGAGAGTAGGGCCAAAATGGGAAGAACGGGAAAATCGATGGCAGTGATCGATGTATACCACCACAGGACAGAGGGGCGGGGGTGGGGGTGCGAACAACGGAAACCTGGGTTAAGAGTGACAGGAGACAGTTTAAAATATTAAAATAAGAATAATTTATAAATTATGAAGGGTTCACGAGGGTAGGAGGGTGGGGGAAGGAGGAGAAAAAAGAGGAGCTGATATCAAGGCCTCAAGTAGAAAGAAAATGCTTTGGAAATGATGCTGGCAACCTAAGTACAAAGGTGCTTGATAAAATTGATGCATGGATTGTTGTAAGAGTTGTAAGATCCCCCAATAAGATGATTTCTTAAAGTACAAAATAAAATAAAAATTCCAGAAAGTTGTTCACCTGTTTTTATTGGCTATTTATATGGCTATTGGTTCATGCGAAGAAATTCATTCACCTGTGTGCATCTTTACAAGTGACAGTGAACATTGTCAAGAATGGAAACTCCGGAACAATTAATTATGTGCATGAGGAACATATATATATTTCAGTCTAAAAGACAGTCCTTGCAAATGAACCTGAGCAGTGACTCTCAACCTTCCTAATGCCGCGTGCCTTTAATACAGTTCCTCATGTTGTGGTGACCCCAACCATAACATTATTTTTGTTGCTACTTCATAACTGTAATTTTGCCACTGCTATGAATCATAATGTAAATATCTGATATGTAGGATGTATTTTCATTGTTACAAATTGAACATAATTAGAGCATAGTGATTAATCACAAAACAATATGTAATTATATGTTGTGAAATATTTATTTCTAAGTACAAATAAATGAAATTTTGTCTTGAAGATGGTGTAGCATGGGTAACAGTGTTAATATAACAGCAGTAAACTACACTGCTACATTTTGCCACAGTATGTGCAAAAAGCCAACTTCAGTGCGTCAGTGCGAAGGTTCAGATAGCTTCTTTCTCACCAGATCAGAAATTCTCAGGGCAGTCTTTGCAAGAGCACAATGATCATCGTCCACAACAAGTCTACTACTGTATTTAGACTTGATAACCAACAAGCTGGAAAAGCCTGTTTCACAAAGTTTTGTTGTTGGAAATGGAAGAAGAAGGTGCAACACAGTCTCAGACAGAACAGGATCTGACTGCAAACACTTGATCCAGAATTTTGTAACTGGCATTGTAGAAAAATCAGATTTCACTGCATAGCTGTTAAGAAGTTCAAAGAACTCCCCTTGTGCTGTCTCAGGAACATCTTCAACTTTGACTGTGAATGGGCTTCTGGCAAGTGCAAAGCGGGTGTCAGATAGATTTGGAAAGTACCTTGTAATTTTGTCTGCAAGCATGTGCAAGTGTTCTTTCACAGAAATTATCATCATAATCCTTTTGTCTGGTTCGATGTCATGTTGCTCAAAGAAAGCAGATAAGGTAGGCAACATGTAAATTTTATTTCCATCCAATTTTTTTTTGTGCCAAAGCTGAAGTTTCTTTTGGAATGTTTGGAACTTTTTAGACAGAAACACTGCAATTGTTCCTTGCAGTGATAAATGTAACTCATCCAAGATGGCAAAGATGTTGTATTAGTCTAGGTACAAATCCGCAGCAACTCATGTATAAGAGAGTTTTATGTAAAGAAAGTGTGCATCACGAAAACATCCCAATCCAATGCTGCCCAAGCCCACAAGTTCAACATTAACCCATTAACCCAATACCAGTCCACAAAGTCCTCCACCTCACAAAACAGGGGCAATGATTCCGACTCCAGGAGGAAAGCTGAGTCAGTGAACGAATAAGCATCTCAGCACTAGCAGGGGTCTCCACACGGCTGCTCCAGCACCCAGGGCTGCATCAGGATAGGTCCATGTGGCTTCTCCTTGGGGATGTCTTGTAGGAAGTCAATCTTGCAAGCTGAAGCAGGGAACTGCTAAGGCAGCTGCACCGTGGTGCGACCATCACAAAGCAAGAGACCTGACAACTAGAAAGGTGAGGCTCACCACCCATTTATCCCTCCGCCTTTCAATTAGCCCCACATGTGATTATCGGCCAGGTTGGCACAATTAACTAACTCAGATGTCAACCAAATAAGCTATTTTCTGCAGTTCAGTTTTATCACTGAAAAGTGCTTCAAACTGCAGTCTTGCTTTCTGATTGAAAACTGTTTTGAGTTCATCACGATGCTCAAAAACACGTTTTAAAACTTTTCCTCTCGATAACCATCTCACTTCAGTGTGAAATAGCAGAGCATTATTTGGCGCATTCAATTCATTACAGAGTTGCGAAAACAGTTGACTGTTAAAAGTGCTTGCTTTTACAAAATTTACATAAGTTATGATGCTTTTCATTACTTCTTGTAACTCTTGTGGCAGCATCTTCATTGCTAATATTTGCCGATGAATCATACAGTGAGTTCCGATGACTTTTGGTGACTTATTCAGTACCAAACATTGAAATTCAGATTGACATCCTAGCATAGCTGGAGCACCATCTGTGCAAACACCACAAAGCTTTTCCCAAGAGATCTTATGCTCTTTTAGAAATGAACCAACTGTGTCAACTACATCACACGCAGTAGTTGTTGTTCCAAAAGGTTTTCCTAAAAGAAACTCATCTTTATAGTCGCCATCATTAATATACCTCACATAAACTAGTGACTGTGAACAGTTTGTAACGTCTGTAGATTCATCAAGCTGGATGCTCAATATTGGAAATGGAGCAGATTTAATTTCCCAGATTACCTGATCAAGAATCCAGCAGACATGTCAACTATTCTTCTTCATGTTGTTAGATAAGGAAATTGCACACAATTTCATAACAAATTCATCTCTGATCATAACTCGAACGATGTCTTTGGCTGCTAGCAACAGTAAAACCTCAGCAATGGTGTGAGGTTTCATAGCTCTGGGGACTGCCACCAAATATGAAGCTTCAACGGCTGCTAGGTTTTGTTTGTGGTACTTGCCACCAGTGTCAAGTCTGGCTTTCTCGAGTCCATCAGCTTTGCTTCTAAAATAGTTGGTATCCTTGCTGGCAAAACTCAGATGCCTGCCATCAAAATGACATTTTAGTTTGTTAAACTTCATAGATTCGGCTGATAGAACTTCACAACAAACACATTGCGGTTTCTCAATTTGTGCTGTAATTATTGAGGTAAAACCATACTGTAAAAGTTCCTCACTATATTTTCTTTTCTTAACGTTCTTCTCTACGTGATCCATTGTCACAGGATGGTTTGATAATGAAAATAATATATAACAATCGTTTTAATAATACAAAAGATGATACATGGCATAGTTCAGTAAATACTGTTCATTAAAGTTTCCTATGATTTACCATTCTGTTATTGCTTCTTTACAAACCTGTTACTCTCACAAGGGGGCATTATTCACAACCACAGCTGAATAGGACTTAAATCAGCATCTAGATTAAGTTCCCATGGTACAGATATATATATATATATCTTGCAGTAGTCGATGATTTTACAGTGAGTACATGATTTTACATTTACCCAGTAATTATAATTCATGAAGTGTCGTTTTACCTCCAACCCTGCTGCTTTCAACACAGCAGCTGCTTTCTACACAGTAGCTGCTCTCTACACAGTGCCTTCTCTCTACATATGTGTGACTTGTCCGCATAAGTACATTATGGCATCAACCCAGTCACATACACCTATATTTGTTCAGGGTGTATGTGATGGGCTTGATATGATGATGTCATCATGCCAGGTACTGGTATGTGGGTGAATCTGAATGTGGGCGGACCCGCCTGGAGATGGATAGAGGAATGGTGTCTCATTCCTAAGACCCTTGGAAATAAGTGTTTTCCGATGGTCTTAGGCGACCCCTGTGAAAGGGTTGTTCGATCCCCAAAGGGGTCATGGCCCACAAGTTGAAAAAACCTGAACTAGAGGGTACTTCATGGTTTATAATTAGGAAATCTGTGAGTCAGGATTATATGCTTTCACCATACTTACTCAATCTGTACATTGAGTAAATAATTTGAAAAATTGAACTATATGAAAATGGATGAAGCATAAAGATAGCAAGCTCTTTGGCACCAACTTACTTGTTGAGAGTGAAGAAGACTTGAAGATCAAAGATTGCAGTCTTCAGTGTGGATCACAACTCAAGTTTTTAAAAACAACAAGAATTGTGAGATCAGAAGCAGGAGCAGATGATATTTTTTTTCCTGTTGTGCACAGAATCACTATATATTTGAACTAATATTATGGCACCTAATAAGAACAAAGTCAAGGCAAGTTAACCTCTGTGTCTTTTACCCATCTCTGGAGTACGATATATGTGATAGTAATGTGTGGTTGTGATAATTAAATGAGATAATACATTCCACTTTGCATTAAAATGTATTTATCATCATTATATTCTCATGATTACATTATATGCCCCCGAGGTATGAGCTTTGAGAGAGACATGCACATTTTATCAAAAACTATAGCTCCGGCATAATCACCACTTACCTTATTATTGAAATCCAAGATTAAAATTAGCAGTATTATCTCCAAATATTAACATTTTGATAAACTATGATAGTCATGGTTTATCTCTAATCATAAATATTTTTATTGTATACAAGAATGCCTACATTTTCCATCACTCTTTCAACATGAAGCAGTATTCAAAATATCCTTACTGAAGCAGCCTCTGTACATCTCCTCTTCTGGTTTGGTTTTAATCGTGTTAACAGGAAAAACCCAAAACTTAAATAGCGTCTGTCCTACACCTGTTTCCACTCTTAACTCTGTATAGTAAAATGTTATTTTCAATATGCTAAAATTGAACATACAAGCTATGATTAAATTTTGATTTTTGGACATATATTTCAGTCCAGCTTTCTCTTTTCCTTCCATTATGTTACTTTCAGCCATTACCATTATTTCTCGGCTCCATTATTCACTATCATTATTCACTATGTAGGCTTAGCTACCTAACTCCTTTGAGACTGGGTCCTTATATTTGAGTTAAAAGAAGCTGATGTGATGGGAATTAGATGTAATAATTTCTGAAAAGTCCTTAACATATACTTGACACAGAGTTATTGCTCAAAGAAATGTTACGGTTGATGTTTTACAGTTCTCTGCAGAGTTATCCCTGCTTTATTGATTTTTAAAATATATCAATCAGAGGCAAGCATCACTTGCTGAGCATTTAAGTGGGATTTTGTTGCCTTGATTTAAGAAGGAAGCTGTGACTGGTGAAAAGGAAAAGGTCAGAGGAAGGATACCTGCTTCTTTTGTGGCAGTATCCTTCCAGTCTAGAGCCGAATGTGAGAACTGAGAACTTGATTACCCTCCTCTGAGCGCTTCTGTCACAGGGAAAGAGCAAGAGTAGATCCTAGAAGGAAAGTCACATTATAACTGGAGACCGATTGTAAGCATGATACGGAATTGTTTTTAATCAGAGAATCGGTCAGATATAAAGCAAAGTTGTAGTTAGCAAGTTCCATCGAGTCAGTTTTTACTCATAGTGACATTTTGTACAAAAGACTGAGACACTGCCTAATCCTGCACCATCCTTTCAACTATTCTTATGTTTGGGTTCTTTGTTGTAGCTACTGTGTCAATCCACCTCATTGGGCCTTCCTATTTTTTGCTGCCCCTTTACCCAGCATAACATACTTCTTCAGGGATAAGTCTCCCCTGGTAACATATCTTAAGTACATGAGATGAAGTCTCCCAATCCTCGCATCTATGAAGCATTCTGGCTGTACAACTTCCCAGACCAATTTCTTTGTTCTTTTGGAACTACATAGCACTTTCAATATTGCTTGCCAACACGGTAGTTCAAATGCACCAATTTTTCCTTGGTCTTCTTTACTCAATGTCCAACTTTCACATCTGAAAATACCGTGGCATGAGTCAGGCACACCTTAATCCTCAAAGTAACATCGTTGCTTTCCAACACTTTAAAGAGGCATTATGCAGCAGATTTACACAATGTAATGTGTCATTTCTATTTAAGGACAGAGAGAGAGAGAGAGAGAGAGAGAGAGAGAGAGAGAGAGAG